GCACGCGTACGTTTTGTACGTGATTTCTCGATATCCCGCGGTTGACCTAAATTTTAATAACGTTAAAGCTATGGTCCAGTGGCGGTCGTAAAACTATGCAGATCATAAAAGCTCGCGCTTTATCTCGAAAACAATTAATTTCATATAAAGGAGTTATTTTCCTTTATGTGTAAAAAGTTCAGAAAAAGATATCAGATTTTCTCTAATAATATTAAATACACAACTCGACATCAAGATCCAAATTAAATGTTATATGTGATAGTTATTTGTGATAGCTATTTGTCCAAGTTTAGTACAAAAACAAAGTGCAGCTTTAAAACGACATGAATTTTCGAAGATTATGCTAATATCTACACTCCTAGAGTCGCGACAAGCCAGGCTGCAAGTAAGAGCCAGATGGAACATATTTCTCTTCCGCACCCTCAAGTGGAAAGAGGCGCGTCAGTATCAGACTTCTTTTTAAAATGTTCGTGCCAATAACGCCGGCTCTGATCCCCGGGAAACTCGTACCATAAATCGCAGACCGCAAAGGCGCATCGAGTCGACATTTTCCGCGGCTTTTGCATTTTTTGCAAAAAAAAAAAATATGTTTAAAAGCTCCGAGTCTTCATTCACCGAAACGTTCGGTTTTAGCTCACCGAAATGTAGTTTTTTTTTATAGAAGTTGATTTTGAAGTTAAACGCATCAACGTCGTCAATCTTATGCTAGGTTGTTTAGAATATTATTATATCCTACAAATAATCAGCTTCTAAAGTTTAATTACCAGCGATACTTTATTTCTGTCGACTTGCGAAAAAACTTTGCTCCGCTCGCAGCGCATTTCCTCGTTCCGCAACACAATTTTTTCCCCGCTACGACGACCGCATTTGCCCACCAAATTACTCAACGGATACAGGAGCACTAAATAGAGCGGGAGGGGGAGGATGGCAGAGGGTAGATTTCGAACGGTCAGTGTTTATGGGACAGACAGAAGCGGAGGGCTCTAGGAGACTATCCATCAATGTCGAAGCTCGCATATATATATATGTGTACATATATAGATCAGGACACATCCTCATCCTTCTCCGTGCTGCCCGCACACGTACACACGCCTACGCACGCCCACGCGAACGGGACACCGTCCTGGAATCCGCTGACGCGGTTGGGAAATAGGTGAACGTTGCGGCGCTTCATGAATCTATAAAACAATCTTCGAATGCTCCCGATAAGTGTCGGCGAGACTCCGGAATAGCAAATGTCATCAGATCTTAGAAAAACGTTTTTGAGAATCACATTAAAGTATCTGTCTAATTCGACATCAGATCTTTTTCTTCGCGAAACATCCCTGATCAACGAGAATTATTTTACTAAAATGAATAATTTAACAATAAATTATTTATAATATTGTATTAAATTTTACG